CACATACTCCATTGTTTAGTGAACAGATTCTTATATGAACATTTTAATGAGTTTTTAAGTCCACAGATATTTCAGTATTAACAAATGAATTGTCAGAAAATTCACAGAAAATACTAATACTAAAGAAAGTACTTAAGAGTAAGATTTTCAACCCTCCTTATTTCTGCTGTGGATTGAATATGTTTCAAAGGCATGAATATTGCCCAGTCAATCAAAGATGTTTCACTGGCTCCCAAAGGAAATTCTGACAAAGATGTATTTTAGATCATGTACAGTCACATTCTTGAAACCCTGTTTGTCAATCAATTAATCATTTGATCAGTTCATACACTATTATCCTGTACTGAGCTCGTATAGTGAAGATGTCTTCTGCCTACCTTTCTGCATAGAGCCATATCCAATGGATATCATCATCCACATCAGCACCCATGTGGACATTCCCCTTCGTGTCCCCATGGTTCCCAGTGGGTCAATCAGATTGTCAGAAGCAGGGTAGTCTCACCTGGGCTCTGGCTCTGGGTTTTATACCACCAAAGTTGAGGAGGGTCTAAATTGTCATAAAAGTCAAACAGGAAGGTGGAGCCGAGAATTGAACCTGACTCTTTTTATTTGACAAATAGGATGCAATTTTAAATATAATTCCTTCCTATTGAAATCAGTTTGCATAGAATAGTGGGAGGAGTCTTGAGACCTTTTGGGCATCTTCCACACCCTGCAAAATGTCTGAAGGGAGACTTCCAGTTATTCCAGTTAAAATGTGAATTCTGTGTTCTTTTAAACATACGAGATCCTGAATCCTGATCTTCTCATGTTGTATACATTCATTCAATTCTCATTGTTTTCTTATGTTTTTTCTTTTGAAAAGTATTCATGATTCTTTACGCTTCTACTTCATTCCTTTTAGCAGTTGATATTGTTAATAATTTATGAAAAAGAAACTCTGAACAGGAAGCTAGAAGGATATTTTAAGCATATTAGCATTAAGACTCCAGTTTTCAAGGTCTTACATACAAAAATAGTTGTACCTGTCCCTTCTCCTCTTTCTTATATGCAGTGATACTTTTGTTTCTCAATTGTAAATTGCTTAAATAAATGTGAGTTAAATTAGACTTATTTAATTACTGAGAAAAAATTGATAACTCCTATGTTACTGTAAACCTTGGTCAAACCTTGGAAAACCATTGGTTTTACTGTTAATATATCATCTAGTGCTTACTTTTCTTAGTCAATGAAGTTTCCAATAAAGACTGCCCATGTTCTATCTTTCTTTGCCTAAGAAAAATATTCTCTTTGTAATCTTGTGTACCAATTGATTTCCAGTGCCACGTGTGTGCTAAAATATGTTACCTTCCTGAATTTCCTGAGATGAAAAAAAGATTCTGTGTCCTTCCCCTGCTGGAATCCAGTGTATTGGGAGAGGATTAACAATGTGAGAACTATTAGAACTATCTATTAGAATATCTGAAGAAACATCTCAATGGCTTCTATGATCAATATGTCATAAGCAAGGTTCAACATCTGTTGGGTTTAATGATTTCAGATTGTCTATAGTCTCTCATACTGTCTGTTGTTATGAGACCTACAGAGCCCTGACACAAAAACAGTAAAACTGAGGCAAATAAAGAAGTAAAACATGGATCAGGCACTACCAACTTCCAACCACATGGGTCAGACGCGAGCCAGCTGTATCTTATAGCCACATGGGTCAGACGC